AAACCGGCCTGATTAATGGGCACGACGCCATATTGCGGTCGCAAGGACGCCGAGGAAGGTAGCGAGTCGGTGAAATGGACGAGGGAAAACGCTCGTTCCATCTGGATTCGGGATCCTAAGACCAGAAATTCAGCCAGGGGATGTAGGGTTCAACGTTCCCGGGGATTTTCTCCCAGAAGGGGGCCAAATTTCAATAAACGACGCGCAGGAAAGACGTTCTCCAAGATGGCCGCCGCGAAGAGACGCCGCGCGGCAAATGGCGGCGGTCGCACGCGACGTGTGTTCGAAATAGACGCAAAACGTACGCGACACGCGGTGCGAATGATTAATGCCGGGCCAGGATGCGTGATATCGAGATGTTATGTCCTCGGGGTCGGATGGAAGGGCGCCTTTCGAAGGTGAATCTCATAAATCGAGGAGCGTTCCTCCCCTCGGAGGTGCCGCCATATTTAACCGCTTATCGACCGACGCGGATTTAACTCGGCCGGCGCACAATCTGGGTTACGCTTCGCCGATTCTCGCGTCTCTCTATCTCTTTCTCTCTCTCTCTCTCTCCCCGGCAAAAAGCCCCGCGAAATCGCGTCAATTTGAAGGCTAACGATCGCAGGACACGAGTTCATCAGGATATTGGGGAACGGGGTCCTTGCTCGAATGCAAAGCGACTCCACCCCGCTTCCTGCCCACCACTTCCGGGGGTCTCAGACCTCTGAAATTGGGTTTCCAATTTCTCCCATCTCTGTATCCAAACTCGGAATGTATTCAACTGGGTCTCTTTGCCATAGGTCCGCGGATCGAAGGGATCCTAATCTCCTTATCAGAGGTGGAGACGGATTGCGATGCGTCCTGATAATCTCCCTCTCCTGCGAGTCTTCCTGGGAGCTCCCTAGAAACGAATTAGCGTGAGTGATGGACCAATCGGATTGATAGGTCCAGATCGAGTGGACATTAAAGGGGCGTCTCGACATTAAAAAGGGGTCCATTTATCGGATAAGCTCTGATGTATCCAAATGATTATCCTCTACGTGGGTGCGAATCAACTCAGGAGCTCCCTCATGCTGGTCATTGGCAACTATCTAACCAATCGGATTGATGGGTCCGAATCGATCGGGCATTAGGGGAACCTCTTCTAATTCTAAAGGGGTCCGTTTATCTGATAAGCAAACGAAGTCCATCTTCTTCGAAGGATTCGCATCGGCCTTTGGATTAACCCTTAGTCTCTCCGCGCCAAGCTGATATTCGATATCAATCGATCTGGTCAATGCACCCAATCGGTATTAAGAATTAAAAAATGCTCCTTATCTATCATATCGGCAAAGAAATTCAATATGTCTCTCTTTCGTCGGGGTACATCCTTCACATCGAGGACAAATCACGCGTTGGTTCTCTCACACCGATTGAAATCGACATCGACGTAGGTATCGAACTGGTCCGATTGACGGGTTAAAGTCGATTAGACAGGAAGGGAACGATTCACTCGGGAAATCGAAGGAGCACACTCGTGGGACTTGGGGACCATTCCCTCGGGAAGTACCCTGCTCCGCGTTATGTATGCCCCCACGTACCTACGTATGTATGTATGTATCACGAGAGATATACGTACACGTTACCGACGTAAGAGGAGCTCGTGATGGATCTGCGGTTCGACGTTAAGATGATTACTATCCTGTCTCTGGGCTCCCCTTGTTACCCGGCAACTCTATTACCCCGAGTGACCCGAGACGGGATATCCTGGAACCAGGATTACCGACGTTGCAGGGAACTTCACTTACCGCGGACCAAGAAAAAGGATTCCCCTTGATCACGTTTCCTTACTCGGCCACGTACAATTCTTTCCTACCCCGATAAAGAGAGAAATACTTTGTACCTTTAAAAAAATATAAAAAAATACCTCAAGGTGAGAGCGAAGAAAAATTTCCAGAAAATCCAAAGTGACATGTAAAGTCACGGCTTTTACGTACAGACACTCCACGGTATTTTCAAATTGTATGCTCCATCCTGCTGGGTCGGAAATTATTCGAATTTCTGCAGATCCCTTGAAATGCAGGGGATATCGGTAAAAAGTGATACCTTCATCCTGGAGGATGTATATGGCGCGAGACTCTTTTGACCCGCTGCTGACATATACGTATCCAGGATCCGCCTCGCGGAACTTTTTCCAAAGGACATCGAGAGGTGTCCTTTTCCTCGCTTTTCTTTGAACCTATCTTCTCCCGGGGTGAAAATCTCTCCGAAGGAGATACCAGACCCGGTCTCACCTCGGTGCGATAATATCGAAATGGAAACGAAAAAGCACACCCCGAGGCAACGAGCTCGTGCAGTTGATGTCACCGGTTGACTGTAAAAGGACACCAAACTGAGAAACACACTGCGTGATTACCTGCAACCCGAGTCGATTTATCGCAAATACAGTCAAATGAAATAATTCCTCGGATAAATATTCACGACGAGCATACAAAATGATATATACATATTTTGTTTAAAATCTTCAAAATATTCTATCACCCCAAAATAATCATATAATTCCTGGAAGTGTTAATAAAAAAATGAATTATTCCCAAGACTTCGCGGGGAAAGCAGGATTTTTCGATGACATCGTGGATATTGAGTTTTCGCCGAATTGTTTCTCAGGGATTCCGTAAAGGAGAGGTCGCCTCTGTGTCGAAGGAATGCATCGGAAATCGGGGAACGAAACTCTCGAGGGAGAAATTCCGCCGGCCAAGCTCGGCCTTATATTCCCGGGTCCGAGCTCGGCCCTGGTTCCACTTACAAGTTCTCCAATTCTGGCGCGATTCCATCGCCGAGGCGAGGAAACCGGCGAGGGGTATATCGACCAGGCTCTCGACGGGCTCTCCAAGTTCTGCCAATTGGATCTTTGAAATTTCCGGAATCCCCAAAGAAACGATCGCGCTAACGAGTTCCGTCGACGGGGATTTACATCCGGAACACCCGAGCCCCTCGGCGCTGCACTCGCTCGAGTGGAGATCTTTTTGGCGCTAATCCCATCCTCTCCTTTTCTCTTTCCACGTCGTTCGTCATCTCTTACTCCATTAACGGTCGAGTAACCGTGTTCCTTGCGGGGACTCCTTCCGCGTCCGATATACCGGAGGAAATGATTGGCCGTAACTACTTCCAAAGACCTGTTAACGAGAAAAGAAGCGGCGAAAACGGATATTAGAGAGGAATCGAGATGTCCATTTTATTAGCCGGGACGGAGCCCTCCATATCGTTCAAGAATCATCCTCCAGTTTAACCGAGTTTGAATCCCCGAGCACTTTGGAACTTGGCAGGAGTCTCGACGTCGATCGAAAAGAGTGGAGTCTGCTCCTGATGGACCGATTCTACTCGGTAGAGTTACTCAGCTGCCAATGGACCTCTGGAGAGATGGGACGCCATTTCTTGGCAACGTCCCCAGGCGTGAAGGAAGTGATCTTGGAATCATCGGGTCAATTCCTAACTTTTGGATGAACCTATTAGCGAAATATTCCGGTGCAGGGCGATTGATAGTCAGACGTTAATTGCGACAGACAAGGGGCATCGGTCTCCCCATTAGTGTCAGAAAATCTCGGGAGGGAACTCCTTGTAAACGGTCCCCTAATGCGAGCCCTGGGAGAAAAAAGGTTTATGGATACCCTAATCGATGACACGGAATCGCCGTTTCAGGGTAATTGATTGCCGGCTTGGGCGGACGTTTCTTGGCGACGCCTCTTCGCTCCGCCACTAAGGAAGTCCATCGAAAATTGAAAATATCGACTTATGAGATGAAAATATTACTGGAAATATTTTCATTGTTGCAAAACGCAATGAGAAAATTATCCGTCTTGATAACGTTTTGTTTTTCTAGAGATATATTTTTTTTCACGCTTTTGGCTTTAAGAAGCGACTTTCGAGGCGTCCATTTTCCGGTCTCCTTTTCGCTCAATCGAGGAGAAAAGAGGCCTTTGCGAGAGGTTTTCATTTTGTCCTTCGCCTTTGGCTCTTTCGCCGTCCACACGTCGTAGGGCGATGCCAATAAGGCATTTCAGACACGTAGTCGCTTCTTACACGCCGCTGTCCATTTTGGTTCTTACGAGGCTTGCAAGAACTTCCGCGACCGGCCGGGAGTTTCGCGAAACTCCAGGATACGCTCCAGGTGGCGCGCACATCCGAGAAATGCGGACCCGTCGAGAAGTTTCACTCGGATTTTTCTCAGGAGGAAGGATCGTTTCCCGAGTAATAAGACGCCGAAACGATCGATCGTTACAACGGCCAGCTTACGTTTACTCGGAGACGGTCCTTTGCGCGTAGAATTTAGCTTTCCGCAGCGACGCTCTCGGGCAACATGGCGGCCATTTTGTTTCCAACGTTGAGCCGAGAAATACCAGTTCTTATTCACTTTTTAGCTTACAACATGAAATACTCTTTACATATAAAGTTGAGATTTATTTTTCCCGGTGACAGGGAATCATGAAAAAATAAAGAATTGTCCTTTCCCCTCATTTCTTGACGATTTATCGCTGTTTTCGTGGCGGAGGCGCACCAAAAGACGCATTTGCTTCACCATAATGGCGATATCGTTTCTCTCCGTCAAAGAATGAGTCACGCGAATTGTTCCACTTTTAATTTTAAGTTGCCAGGGGCCGCGCAATTAGAGGCGGGCCGTTTTACAATGAGAAAAAACGTCCACGCGAGACATTAAAAGTGACCGAAGTCGACCGTTGAAAAAGGGCTCTATTTTTGCAGGCTGCCCGCACTCTCCCCCTCGCACCTCTGCAATAAATCACATTGTTGCAAATTGCAATGCTCGCGCCCGGGCGTCCCGTGATTCCGTCGCGCGATAATGCGTAATGCATGGCGGCAATTATGAGCACGATTTAATGCGAAGTGCAGTTCGAGGCGGGAAGGGAAAATAGCGAACGCTGCGCTACCGGCGACCGATATTAATAATCGGTATTAACATAAGAAAAAAATACCCGGTCGTTTGGATCGCGCCATTTACCCTGCTCCGTGTTTTTCTGTTTCAGTGAGATTACACGATAGCATACAGGAGGAGAATTATCACTACCTCGTCTTCGACTTGTGAGTGGCTTCATGATTTTCAATTACCATTTAAAATCTCTCGAGTTATCGATCATGACTGGTCGCGATTTCATTGGATTCCATTTGATTTCACGTTATTTCCTGGAGAATTATTTCGTTCCCTGGGAAACTTCCCAGACTTCAGTGAGCGATATAATCAATTGGCGATTAATATTACAATCGTTTTGTCGATCGGTTCAGTCAATTTACGTCGCGGAAACGGTCGCTTCGGTTTGTTGTCTTCGTCCGGAAATAACGCGTAACATTTTACTGCACTCGACTGCGCGAGTGAATTATTCCTGATTTTCTTGGGGAGCACCCATGTCATTTCTAAATTCGCCGCGTTAAGAATAAGCCCTATTTACGGAAATATCTACAGGAGGCATTTTTGCAACGGTGCGTGTATTTCGGCTCGCCATGCTCTAGGCCGCGATTCGCGAAACGCCTAATGGCTGGGTCGCGAACGCAATTATGGCAAGAAAGCCGCGAAATTTAGAGAGAACTTTCAGAGTCACCGGCGGGGAGCTCTTCGAGGACATCGTCGCGAGGGAATTTTACAGCGAAGCCGACGCCTCGCATTGTATTCAACAAATCCTGGAAAGCGTTCACCACTGCCACCACCACGGAGTCGTGCACAGGGACCTAAAGGTGCCAAGAATAATTTGAACAATTCCTGAAAATAATTAATTTCACCAAACAATCCCACTTAGACGTGGAAAAATAATGTCGCTCCTTAATATAGTTCAAGACGAATCGTGAAGAAAACAAATATCCTTATTAATATTTCCAGCCCGAAAATCTGCTCCTTGCGAGCAAAGCGAAGGGCGCAGCGGTGAAGTTGGCGGATTTTGGACTCGCGATCGAAGTACAGGGCGAAGCACAGGCATGGTACGGTAAGTTGACAATTTTCGAAGGTTATTAATGGGCGAAGAATCCTTCCAGTAGGTTCAGGAAGGTGTATCTCAAAAAGAAATTCCGCCGTTTCCCGGTGGAAGGTCCTGGTCCATCGATTGGACCCCCCAGGAATTTCGGGAACGCCGATTAGAGGAGGTCTGATGGAAAGTTCTCGTTTGTAGGTTTCGCCGGAACGCCCGGTTACCTCAGTCCGGAAGTGCTGAAGAAGGAACCTTATGGGAAGCCCGTCGACATTTGGGCATGCGGCGTCATCCTTTACATCCTGCTGGTCGGATATCCTCCGTTTTGGGACGAGGACCAGCATCGATTGTACTCCCAGATCAAGGCTGGAGCATACGACGTAAGGAACCGTTCAATACCTCCGGGATTTATTAACCATTCTTAGCGTACAAATTATCTACGTTAATAAGTCCGGCGATCTCGATCGAGTTCACTCCAGGAACTTTTTCGGAGTGTCGTCGGATAAGGGACACGAGATATAATTGATAAAAATCTCTAAAAATGTATAAAAATGAGACGCCTCGCTGATGATTTTTCGTCATTGCCTGCAGTATCCAAACCCAGAATGGGACACTGTAACACCAGAAGCAAAGAACCTAATCAACCAAATGTTGACGGTGAACCCGAGCAAAAGGATCACTGCCAGCGAGGCCCTGAAGCATCCATGGATCTGCGTACGTTTTCTTAATCTTTCTGATCTCCAGCCTCGCGTCACTTTCGACTTATGCATCCCATCGATAACGCTTCTTCCTCTTCTTTTTGCAGCAACGTGAGCGTGTTGCCTCTGTGGTGCACAGGCAAGAGACCGTCGATTGCTTGAAGAAGTTCAATGCCAGGCGCAAATTAAAGGTGAGTTAAAGCTCCATTACGCGTGAATACTCTCTTCAAGGCTTCTATATATCATTAAGGCTAACAATTTCGGAGCTGGCCATTTTTAAGGACCGCGCATTTGCATCCCAAACGCGATGCCGCGATCTTGTCGAATTTAATGTATATCGCGCGGGCCAAAAATCAGAGGTTGCATCTTCGACTTGCACTCTTCCTTCGCATTCTTGACTCGCATTCTCGAGCCGAATCCAATTACCTCAGCCCGGAATTTTGCAATGCCCATCGATGCCCAACACGCACATCGGCCCCTGGCATTCGGTCCGGAGAGGTACATGTCCAATTCCATAAACGGAGAGTGATTCCATGACCCCGTAAAGGTTGCTTTCGCAATCGAGAACCCGACCCGTTTGCCGAGATCCGCCGTGAGAGCCGAATATCTCGTTGCTAATTTGACTTGTGACCTCCCCTCGAATCGAGGCAATTTCTCCTCACGGTGGAGTCGGAATTCGAAGCCACGCCTTGTTCCTGAAGTGCATAAAATTTGATAAATAAGCACTCGAAAGTGCCGATCAAAATGAAATCCACAAAGGGCCGATTACTCGGGCCGTTCCATAAGTTCGCGGGGGAATTTATTTCCAATTTTTCAGCTAATTGCCAGTAATAATAATTGCGTGTTTATATAAAACAGGCTGGTTTTGTTTGACAAGAATTTATATTTAAACCTTTACTAATTCATTAAACAAGAAAATAAGCCTGAGAGGCGCGCGATGCGTCGAGGGATCTCGAGTTTTTGTCCCACTTTAACGGCGGCGTTTTCCTCCTGCGTATCACCTGATAATCGAGGATAATGATCGCCTCCGACAATGAAGTACGTGTCGGAGTTTTTCAATGCTGCCGGTAATCGTTTGGCAATTATCGAGGCGAGTCGGCCATTTTAACCAGCCTCGTCGGCGCGACAACGAGCAAATCGCGAAAGCCCGTCTTGAGAAACACCTCGAATCGAGATCGGCAATTCCTTCGGTTGGTAAAAGTGGACTCGAAGCGGGTAAAAAATTGCCAGCCTCTTGTCAGCGAGCTTAACTAATGAGAAAACTATGGACAGTTCGATCACGATCGCCGAACGATCGACAGCGATCCCGACCTCGCGGAGATCTCGACGCGGTCGCCTTTAGATGCGGATAAATCTCGTTAATTAATTAATTTATTAATCTCTCAGCGACGTTTCTTGCGACTGGCTCTCTGTACCAATAAACACGGGTCTAGGTCGTCATTAAAACTAATTGGGTTATTAATAAAATTCTAAATAAATCTGCAAAGCCATCTCGGTTACCGCAACCCGATATCTTCGATCCTCCCAGAAGAGGAGATCGCCGCAAAACGTATTATTACGCGGAATATTTCCCAGTCAGTGTTCGATTACCGGGGATTTCGTAATCGATGGATCGTCGGGTCTCGCCTTTGAACACAGTTTATTCTCTACGTCGATCGCCGATGCCGCTCGATCGGGACTTAACCACGTAAATCCGGTGAAATTTATGTTATTATTAAATCTCAATTCCTGATAAGAAATGATTTCTTAATTGGTTTCGTTTACGTCGAATTTATAGTATGGTCATGGTTTTCGGGTCCACGGGGTTCGATCGTGAGTCAGATTCGTTTCCAACGATGGCGTGAAATCGAGACGCCATGGCGACCTTGGTGGCCATCTTCGTGACTGAAAATCGTAACTCCGAAAGTCCGTAATTCGTGACGAGGATTTCGGCCCGTAGGATCGGAGGCCTCGATTTTCCCCACTCTTTCGTCGAAGGATTCCGCAGCTCGTTCTCGTCGCTCTTCACAACTCGGCGAGTCGTTCAAAGAGCACTCGTCTTCTCGTAATTGACCCGCGACTCGCGTCATCGAGTCACGCTCGTCATGGCTGACTTTTCCTGGGACTAGACTTGAAACCTTCAAGGGAAATTTCAAATCAGGGATACATCTAATCTAACTACTGGCCATTGGCCGTTCATGACGTCACTGCCTCTATTAAATGTCGAATCTGCCAGACCACCGCAACGTTACGAGTTCAGTGAAACGTTTCAATTCCTGAGTTTCATTTCCTGTGTTCTCGTGGACCGTGAAACGAGTGACACCGACTTCGTGACAGGTGACATGACAGAAGTTTCCAGTTTCACGAGAGGGAATTTGGATTATATTAGTCGATCATGAGAGCCTTGAAGAATAAGTTCATATTATGTCGGCAGAGGGAGACCGAAATTCCTGAGGTAAATTATGAAGTCGGAATTCAAAGACATCGCATTTTGCTGGGAATTTTTTTTTCTGTTCTTTCTCTTCGTAACGCGAGACGGCGTAGATTTTATCCAGCCTGTCTTTAAAGTTTTCGATTAATTTTTAATTTTTTTTTATTCTCCTGACGTGTGATTTAATTCTCTCGTGTCGTCTGTCGACAGGGCGCCATCTTGACGACGATGATAGCGACGCGGAATTTTTCCAGTAAGTATGATGCACAGGGTAAGTACCTCCGGCCCTCTTCAGCGCTTCATGGACCGCGATATATCGTATTTACCTCCTCCTCTACTCTCTGGCCTTCTTCCATTCACACTACAGAATCTGCCACTTGTCTCTTTGCCACTTTATCCCGATGCTCTGTCATGTGGCCATGTTGTTTTATCGTTCCGCCGACCGACCAGTAAGTGGCTTCTCGACGGCAAAGAATCTCGCCTTTTGCGATACGCCACTTCTCCCCTTTCGCTTTTACAAGCGAGGATTTATTCTGTCACGTCCGCGCGAGAGTACCTGAAAAGAGAAGAAAATCCAAGATGAAGAACTACCTAAAAACCTCGCCCAACGATCTCCCCGAATTTCAGTACTAATTGAAAATCGCGCAATTTATTTCGATACAGCGCATAAAAAGCTATGGAATTTCATTGACAATTAAATTTTCGCTGCGTTTGAGAGTTACTTTTTGGAAATAAATTTCTCCTCGATGTTTGATATTCTTTACGGGGTTATCGGATATCGTTGCGCGAGGTTCGCTTTCCTTTTGGTTCGAGGGTCTCGTATGTTATTTTGCACAAGGGACGATAAAACTTGAAAAAACATGGCGCCCATGACCGGGCCCCGTGAGCCCTTCCTCGTGCACAGAGAAAGAATGATGATTTACGTCTATACGTAATCGGTCGCCCGGAGGAGCGAGGATGATCTCGATCATCGAAGCGCAGAAGTTCCTCTCGACTTCTGCCGGGAAAATGGTGCATCGTCCCCGCTCATTCGGTGCACAAGAGTGATATGCGCATTTTATTACATATGTTCATCCCATCATGCACTTGGCTCGCACCACATATCCCGCAAGGAACCACGGCACGTTACCCAGAAATTGCGGAAACCACGTGAATGTTACCAAAACCTGGACAAATTGCGTACCTCGAACTAACGCCAAACCCTTTTCTCCCTACCCCAAGGGATCGTTGCACAAAAACTAAATGCAATACTTCTGTAATTTGTAATAATGCAATAATTGTCAATCGGTGTCGCACTCCACGTAAGATGTTGCATCGAAAAGCATTTTTTAATTATCCTTCCGGCCCGGGGAAATCGGTAGTTCGGGTTGTGCAGGTGAAACGGTCTACAGGTAAGGATGCCACGTGGTCGGATTATCGATAATCGGTAATCGTCGATCATTGTCAAGGAGATATAGGTAGAACTTTTGTCGCAGCGTTCTGGGTAACGCGAATCGTCGCAATGGACCGAAGCAGTTCCATTCACGAGTCTCATCGCATCCCTCGCTCGATCATTCGATCGGGTCGATCATCGATCATGCCGTCATTCGTTTAATAGTTATTGATGCTCTCCGGGCAATTGCGCGGTCGGATTTGCATACATTACGCGGAAGACCGTGCGCCACTTTGCATCGACGTTGGCGACCGGGTAATTCGAGGTGCCGTTCTTCATCGAGGCGTAATACAGGCACGATTAATGTCAAAAACGGATTACAATTATTCACGGACCACGGGGAAGTTGGGACTGTAATTAGGCAGCTTAAGCATAAGCAAAAGAATACCTTTAAATTAAACAGGGAGGTTGTTACGAAGAAATTAGGAATAAAATTCCAATGGACGGCCCCGCACCTTAGACGTTGATTTTCTCAATCATTTATTAATTCTTAGATCGGGTAGACGTTAATTTATTAAATCGGTGAATTTATTTATAGTGCACCTGGTTAGGCACCCAACTCGGTATAGTCGATTATTGGTGGATCTGCATCTAATAAAAAATATCTAATTAGCACGGGGTGTAGGGTTAAATTCGTACGAGATGTAATACTAACTGTTTTGGTCCACTTGCGAATACCGTGAATGGTACATGTTTGGTATTGCTCAACTACTGGTGCGTGTCCTGCCAGTCCACAACGTCAGTGACAGTCCTCAGAACCCATCCTTAGAATTCGAGTCGCACTTTTTTCTACTTCTCACTGTGGTCGTCGTTTACGATACATATTACCCAGCCATGTTACGTCTTAGAAATGCCGAACGAACAGCACCAAGCGTGTCCTTAGAATGTCTTAGACAAGTGACCGTGCATTGTATATCTATATATATTATATGTATATACATATACACCTGTCTGTAATTCCGTATTGGGTGTTAGTATGTGTATGATATCTTACCTTCCCGTTTATACCCCTAGGCTCCTGCACCCTAGATCAAATTAAAACGAAGAGCATAAACGTGGATTTTATAAGGAACCGATATTCCGCTTCCTTGGACGAAGTAACGAGTGAGAATGAAACGTCAACTAGATCGTTGCACTTTCGCGCTTCTGGATTATGCGAAACTCGATGAAATGGCAACATAAGCTCTCCCGCGAAAAAATATGGACTCCCAGGAGAGCTGCACTCCATCACCCCGGAGAAAGCGCGCTCGAAAGATTCATTGAACCCAGAAAAATCCATAACGTCTGGGATCCAAAGTAAACCCGAGTTCCCGGGACGCTCCGAACCCCGGGGCAAAGAATCGGCGAAACCTCCCCTTACTTCCAAAGTACGCAGCTTTCCCGAGTAAATGTGGATATTCGTAATCGTGCACGAGCCCCGGGTGGAACGCGGCTGGAAGGCACGTCGAATTCGAACGAGTTTTCGTGCAATCGCGAAGAGAAATCGCGAGGTGGGGCGGCAACGAGTCCGCCATTACCGGAGAGTGGCAAGATGGCGCGGTGATCGGGCGCGGTCGGACGGGTTCCGCGCGGTTCTACTTAAAAATTCATTAAAACCCTCGTTTCCTGCAATTTCCCGGCAAAATGATTAATCTTTATTAATTTCTATGAAATTTCTAAAGGCTCCCGGCTTATTTTCCTCACCCTCGGGGCGTTATTTTCCGGGTTGTCGCTGGTTTCACGACGAGGGTCAAGCGGCGGTTCGGTGGAGCTGCGTCGTTTCCAGACCCTGCAATCTAGCTCGCCGTGGTAGCGGTGCACGCTGCAGGTCAATTACCTGAATAATTGACGCGAACCTTTGACGGGGGAGCGCATTATTGCCGGGATGCAGCCGAGCAGGCATGCGTTAAAAACAATAATACGAACGTCTGCAAGTTCCCGGAATTGGGTCGGCCCAAGTCGGGCTCTGCAACTCGGCCTGGCCGACACAAATAAGGACTTCTGCACCGCCGGCGATGCACCGTCGACGGGGCTTTGTCAGGGCATCGGATCGTGACAGGCTAAATGGAAAAGCTATTGACAGCCGGCCGAAGTAACAAGGAGGACCCCTTGCGCCGTTAGTGGGACTCGTGATCTACCGGGAACTAGCTTTATTTGTTTTCCCTCTCGCTCTCTGGAGGACGGGAAATTTACTTCCCGAGGAAAATGGGGCCAATCCCACTTCTCGCGGGATTGGCCCCGACGTCTCTTCCTTTATACGGTAACGGAAGGTATACGAGTACCTCGGGTGGGGCTCTAAGAAAAAAGCAAAATGGACACCTACATCGGAGGATCCGTTGATACGGCTTGATGCAGTTTCATGCTTTGATGCCGTTCCCCGCAGTTTGATACAGTTTTGAGGAATATTCCCACCGAAGACGAATGTTCACCCCTGACGCGTTTGCAGCTCCCACGACACGTTAGGTGTTACGTTGCCCGACATATCGGACTATATGTCCACGCACGTAACTCGAAATAGGTACATATGTGGCCCCGCGATATGGGTAGCGGTAATACGTGTGCCCATGATATCCGCGGCCTCCATATACGCGAGAAAATTGCAGGAAACTCGGTATTAAATTCCCCGCGGACGTAACTCCCTGTGAAACTACCTTTAAACTTCTCACGGTTACGGAATTCCGCGGGGAAAGACTTTTCCCGAAACCGGCGCGGTAAAAAAAAAAAAAGAAAAAAGAACGACCTTCCCGGGAATCACCGGGAAGAATTCCTTTTTTTCCTCGGATTTCCGTATTTAGGACCCCGATTTAGATCCCGAAATCCAGAGACCCGGGCTCGAGCTGGACTGATTTGATTCTTCCTGAATTCTACAACTCCGGAATCGGGGAATTGCCCTCGGGGAAAATTGACTGATTTTACGGAGAGTCCATTTCCTCGACCCGAGATCTCTATCCCGGGATTTTCGAGCGAGTTCTCGTTAACGGCGACGTGTTTTTCCTGTTACATTGCGGGCGGTTACTTCAATGTTGCCGGGATATTACGGGAAATTGAGTGTCTCGTTGAGAAGCTCAACCGGGCCGCATAGTCGGTTCTTTTCCCGAGTCGCGCGTTAAGCGCCGCCATCTTGATTCTCGGTCTTGCCCGGGCAAACGATGAAATTGACTCTTTATTTAATACTCCCGGCTAGAAACGTTTATATTCGAATTTTAATACGGAACGTGGTCGGGGGTCATTCGTCTCATTTCGGGGATCATCTCTCTCTCGTATGAGTGAACGTGAATCTAGAATCGTTCTCGCTAATTTCATGCTTTCTCGGCCTCGGAATAAGGAGGGTGCACTGGGACGAACAGGTGTAATGAAATGATGCAGACGCTCGATCGAGCACGATTCTTGCCTTTAAGATCTCTCTCTTCCTCCTCTCTCTCTCTCTGCCTTTCTCTTTCTCTCTCTTTTTTGATTTCCCAGGAATAACGCAAACGTTGCTCCCGTCCGCAGAAATGATCGCTGATTTCTCCTGCGCTTGCGTGTGAAGTGGGTCGGAGGTGCCACACCATAAACCCTGAAAAACCTCCTCCCATATATTGGCTAACATAAATATTGTATTTAACCATTGTAATTTAATACGAGTCAATCGACGAGAGCCGAGTAGAAGTATTCCTCGTGCGTGCGATACATCCGTCAGTGTCAATTACGGCCGATAAAGCGCCGATAAACGGCGGGTTGCTCTCCCGATCGAGAATCGAATCGACGCAATTTTGACGGAAAAAAATATCCCCGGCGATATTTTCAATCGGGATTTCTTTCGAGGAGAATGAAAAAATGAAAAGGAAGAAAAGTATTTCATCGATTTTAACGCGCCATGGAATTGTTCTTTTTATTTAACGTCGTGATTAATTTCCGATTACCTCGGGAAAGAATGTCCTCGTCGCCGAATTTAGCCATCTGGAAATTAATTCTTCCGAAATTCCTTATGACATGTTTCTTTTTCATGTGTCGCTTTACTTTTTTAAGTGACAATCTGTACGTACGCACGTATGGATACGGCTACACTACGTTTCATCTTTGGCATGTCCTCTCTACCATTCATATTGTTTCTTTTCACAGTACATTATCCAGCGCTCTCCGACCATTCCCTGTATTTTCTTCCTTTCTCGGCAACAAAGCGCACAATGTCGCGATTCGACGATCCCATGAATAAGCAGTGATCTATAGATTCAGATTCCAACTACGTCGACGTGTTGCTTCGTTGTTGAATAAATGAAGAGAAGTTGTCTGGGCCGGGTTTTGAAACGACCTCATTCCGCGAATCGAGTTAAAAGAAAGATATTCATTTCCTGCATCGTTTAAATCTGTACTTCTCCTTATCCCACGACCCAATATTAGTGAAGGTTCTAAAAAAGCGATTGCATTCCCTGTAGTGCCCAAGTCTACTTTTTACAAACTTATCCCTTAGTTGTACGGAAGAGAAGAAAATGTTTCCCTTTTTCTTTTGTCGGTATTATTTGAACTTATCTTCCCTTACTTTTGACTGGCACATCTCGCGGTCTCTTAGCGTCAGTCATCATGTTCACTGTTTTATTTGGATGCATTTTTTAATCGCCTTCGTTCCACGTTACATACGTCAATGACGCCTTCGAAGAGACATTCATCTCCCGTATTTCCCTTAGTTTCCTCATTCTTGCGAGTGCACCTTAAGGATACCTTAGTTCACGATATCGTCGTTTCACCGTAGACTAACTGCACTTTTAGTGAAATGTACGATAAGCTGCATCGTGTCTGGTAATTTAATATTCGACCATTGTATCATCTGCATCGTCGTCGCCGTAATCGTCGTTGTCATTGCTCGTCGTGGCGCAACGCGGTCCAGAGTTTGCGAATCTGGAGCATCCAATTGGTCTAAATGGATCTATAAAATAATGCACCCCGCACTATACATCCATTATCTCATGACTGAAGAAAAATTTCTTTGGAGTTTTTATTAGTCAGCAAGGTTTTGCAAATGAAAAAATTCGCACGCTCACCGCCGACCGCGCAGCGTCTGAATCCGACGCCGATCATTGGGATTTCCGTTAATTGATAGCAGATAACGATTTAATTTCGAGGATCCATCGATAGCTTCAAGTGGAGGATAGCTCATAGGGAGTATTTTATTTTCGATTTTTCGAAATTCCCTGATATAATCCTGAAATCCCAAAATGGCGGCGTCGGAGCGGCGACTCACTCATCGCAATGTGTACCGTGACAAGAACAAATTCGCACACCCTCGGGTTAGTGACTTAGAGAAATTAGTAAAGGGTTGCAACTAGTGCAATGCGCGGTACATGCAAGAAAGCAGGCCTGCAGCAGCAAGTGATGCTAACGAGATGTCTGTGTCTGTTTCCTTTGGTTGACCCCGTTTGCCAACAAAAAATCTCCATAAAACAAACACCAACCAACCAATGAACCATCCAACCAAACCAACCACGACCAACCAAATCCAATTGACCAACCAATTGAAATCTTGCACCCACGCTGTGATACGAAGAAAGTGGTAAGACGTGTTACCTGTTCTTTCATTTTAAGCCAGAATTAACATTGTTGATCGTTTACGAAGCACCACTATCACCTCTACACGCCGCTCGGAACGTTGCTTTTTAACAAGACGCGGTGCTCGCACTTTCTGCTTTAACGGGGAGCCTCTCGGCGATATCGATTCTCTATTTCACCAAGAAGCCCCCGGATGTATCGAAGGTCGCTTCGATTATTACTCATTCATGCCTCCTTCTCGCCCTCTGTCCGATTCCATTTCCTCTGCGCCTCTTTTACCTTGGCCGACGTGATTTCATAAATATATACATAAGTACACCGCACGCGACGACGGTACTCGGGAAAAATGAAGAAAAAAGTTATTATTTCTTTACTCTTGCTTATATAAACATGCACTCCATGCATGATAATGTATTTCCGCGGAGTTCTTTCGACTGTGTGTCTTTTTAATTTTTTTTCCTTTTTTTTTTCAACTAATTTTCTCAGCTATTCTCGATCTTCAGCCACTTCTCCCTGGATATCTCTTCTCCAAGTCTGACGTGCTTCCACTTCGGGAAATTCCATTCCATGAATTTATAGCGATGAAAATATCAGCTGACCGGGTGAAACTTTATTTCGGGATTTTTATTATTCGCGCTGGTCATTATCGGTTCATGAATTTTTCACACCTCCTCCTCCCAGCCTCCTTTTCTACGTGATAAAACGAGCTGTAAAAATATTTTTTCGCCCGAATGGGGCAGAGGCGAACGCGCCTTTATGCGTTTTTAGAAATGTGCGGTTCGCTTTTACAAAATGTTGCTTGAAAAAAAAAACGCGCTGTGTTTTGCACTCGAGGCGGCTCCAGTAAATTTTGGAAAGTAGTTTCGCCCAGAGTTCTGCGTGCAAACAGCTTTGCGCCTCGCTGCAAAGCAGCTTAGGCAATTTCAAAGGAAAAGTTACTGTTAAAGCAGAAGGAACGAGTACTTCCGGCGGGTGCTACTTTGTGGATACAAAAACGGCTTTGTTGCACTCGGTTGTTTGTTGTATGATACCGCGCCTCATAAACATACACGTGTGTAGATTGGACGTGTTGCATGCGTTGTTGTTTCTGTTAGGTGATGGTTTTGCAATGAATTAAATGTCCAAGTAACGGTATCGCTAATTATGTTGCATACGTCTCTCGGAAGTACACTAAACCTCGACATTACCGTAGACAATTGTTACATTTAAATGCGTAACCACGTGTTAAAATTTGCTTAAACTTCGAAATCTTCCAAGGGACGTAAAAATGTGAATAATGTTGTAAACGTTGAGTGTAATCCCTGCACGACGTGTATACTTCGACACATAGATCACGTTTTTCTCTTTTTCTCTCTATTTTACTACTCTGACAGAAGTATACCCTCTTCGCCCTTTTCTCCCCTAGGACACACCCCACCTCTTTAACAACTGGACTCTGTTCCTAATTGATCTCTTTTTTTAATTAATCTCTAAGATAATTCCTTACTTTCTAAGCACCCCTGATCTACACGAGACGGAGTGAAATTGCGAGTTAAAAGAATTGACCGACGATGGCAAACAGTGCTGGGTACCGATTAAAATGAAATAATCTATTAATATATAATATTTCACGTAGTCTTCTAATATTTAACATACACCCCTGCATAACGAGATGAAGCAAAAACATCAGAGCGGTATCCTTGAAATTTTAATTCCTATTATAATTAATATTTGCTCCAGAAAAGTGGAGCAAATGTCTGGAAAATGTGAATCTCATCCTTTAATCTGAAATAGCATTTCACCCAGCTCTGGCGTGCCGTCCAATACTTGTAATTACAGGGAACTAATTATACGCAGTGGCTTTGCATTTTCTTTCTCTCTCGTGTATGATTTCTGCTCGAATTTAACTCTATTTCATTTCCTCCGACCTCTTTTTACATATATGTATCGCTCCGCTATATAAGTAAAAACCCTGTACGTGCGTACACGTGCGTAGAAATGCGCACGCATACGTGCGTACACGTATACGCGACAGTGTCGTATCTATACTTAACACCTTATTTCATTTATTCGAAGCTCTTAACGAATGCCTTAAAGCATTTATTATTCCCCGGAATAGTCCGGGGTTAGGACTACACTTTTTCCCTCGCTTCAGATTTGAGTCATTTCCGACGATCTAGAGTGTCGATTTATTTACGAGCTTCCGAAAGAGAACTCAGAGTCGAACGAACTCGGAACAACTGACGGTCTGACCATATGAGCGATTTCACTACTTGCTCGGACTTTTCCGAACTTTCAACCTCCCAATTACTAGCGATCGATGTTCCGTTTCTCTATACATGAGCCCGACCCCGTTTATTCTGTATATCCAACATTTCACGACTGCAAAAAGAATAATCGGGCTCTAATAATGCCGGTGCGTTCAAAAAAAAAATATAATTCACTCGCCTCACCGCTCGGTGCATTATTAAATCTCACCCGCGGTGATAAAAAAAAAAAATCAAGAGAACTCTACTAGAATCATTACAATTTTCGAAAGTGCCCCTTTCGGTCCATAAGACGACGAGGTATTTTTTGAATGATTTTATAAAAAAAGTGCAATGAGAGTTCCATTTGTTGAATTGAATTTATCCACGGTCGTTCTCAAGATGAATCCGCAGGATCGGTCTGCGCTATCAGTGAATTCCCTGGATTCGCGACAGAGAATCCCTCGGCGAACAAATAAACGGGGACGGATGAACACGCATTGTCAGCATTGTACGAGAGGCATTTCCTGAATTAGGTTCCCATCGATCAAACGAAGCGCCATTCGAGCGAATATATCATTGGGCGAGCAAAGGGGTGTCCCCCGATCCGGCGAATCGAAGGTAGCCTCTCGAACAATGTCGGTATTGGCTTTGGCTAGAAAACACGTCGTTCGAGAAATTACATTGATGTCAATTCCACAGTAACATGAGTGTTGTTCGCGAAACACTGTGTTGGCTGCGTTGTCAAGCGGAAGGGACGCCCTAAGCCTCGCGAACCTCGATTTCCTAAAACAGAAAGAGTCACGATTAAATTTCGGTAATTCAAGAATTACCCGAAAAGCAGAAAATTGAACGAAAAGAAATGAGAAAGATCGCTTAATCGTTGCTTCCTTCCACGGGAATTGTGCTCATGGATGTTGACGAGTTCGTTGTGTCTCGCAGGCGAAACGAGAGTTTCGCCAAGTTTCGTTTTCGAGAGATACTCTATCTTCCTCCCGAGTGGCCCCTGACTGAATTTAACGCTCTTTTTACGTAACTCCAGGTCGAAGCATCATCACGAAGAAGGGCGATTTTTCTCAGGTGAAGGAATCCACCGACAGCAGCACCACGATCGAGGACGATGACGTTAAAGGTAGGGACGATTTTCCACAAATGTACATGTCGCAGGGCTTTGTCGCGCAACGTCACCGATTGACGCGAGAAGTAAAAATAGTCCTGGGGAAATTGGCTGGAGGGAAAAGGGACGTCGCCCTCGGGACTTTCGGGATCGTTTATGGACGGGATCGGAATTACGTTCCTTCGGGGTGAAACCCCTTGAACGGCGCCCAAGGGCCTCGAATTTCAGGGTTTCGGAATCTCGAGCCGGCTTCCAATTATTCCTATTAATATTTCACTTTTATCCCCCCCATCCTTCCGCTCGAAAGTGGAGCCTATACTCCCGAAGGAAGAAAACTGGAGCAGTGCCTGGAGGCTGGGTTTCGATAAAAAATCTCGACAGAAAACGGCCAAACAAAAAGCTCGCTTTCCTTTCGCTGGGAGAAATTCACGTTCCGTACTTTTGCCATGAAAATAAAAAATGTCTCATTTAATCGTTAATATTCCCCGGGCATAAATGATCCCGAAGGTCGTGAAATCTTGTTTTGGAGAACCTGTACTGTAATCATGTGTGTGTAATCATCAAGGTCCTGGATTTATTAATTAAGGTCGCTGATCTTAACCAAGGCTCGGTCATCGCAGTTTAGACGTTATCTGAAACAACCCGAGACAGCTTTTGCTTCTCTCGGAGGAGGAAAAAGTCGCGTCTCGAGTAGCTTTGGATACGTAAACTACCCGAATACGAATCCCTGGTTTGGATCGGAATTCTCGTCCGAGTAGCAAGAACCGAAATACCCACCCCCCTGGAATGCAGGACATAACCCCGTTTATCAAGTACCCGTACGAGTAATCGTTAGGATGCAAACCGAGTGTTAATTCGCGCGCAGCCCTTTGTACGTTAGTAAGTTTCCTCGTAATGATACAATGGTACAATTACACGACGGTTAAGTGCCCGTGGAGTGCTCCTTCGTGGAGTATTCTTCAAGTATTCACCCCAGAAGTATAACATCACCTCCCAGGAATCGCAGATATTGTCTTGAGTAGAACCACGACTACTCTTCATTCTCAGTAGATAGACCATCGTAGAATTCTAACTCTATCTCCCTTCAACCTGCCACATTTCACCAACGTTGCAATTTTCTAAATTATTATTTTCTACTCATTTTTTAATAACGTGTCAATGGCATGTTTAGTGCAGACGTGCCCGCGAGGTTTTGAACAATTCTTATTAATTATTTAGAAAAGGAAAACCTTGGTGAAGCGATGACAAAGAGTCACCCACTAACCTTCTTAAAACAGCTGATCGGTTCTCCTTGTCTGTCTCCTGACGTCCTTTCTCTCCCTGGCTCACTCCCTCTCGTCCTTAGGATGTCAAAGTGTCTATCCTGCTCCAATTGACACACACTCGGGGTAAAACGAAACCCTCGTCAGGGGGACACTGCAGTTGACAGCAGCTACGATCGAAACTGTCGACGTTGCTGCCGACTGCTCCATAGATTAGATATCTATCTCCATTCGAGCTGTCACGCTGGTCTACATGATCCTCCTCTACTCCTTCCGGATCCACGTACCTGTCAAATCGTTCTCTCGGTCTCCTCCACTTTCTGTCAACTGTCTCCTATCTAGGTACATCTCATAACTCTTAACCAGTAGTGCTCGTACTCGGTTATATCCAAGAGTAGTCGGTTGGACGCTGCAGTTGCGTATTGACTTCCACCTCCCCCGTAGTCAGTCCTGGACAGAAATCCTGGAGAGGCTTCGGCCATATCCCAGGATATCTCCGAAGCCTTGCAGACTGGCCAAAATGACATTTGAGTCGGTAAAAGCCCGGTAAAACGCCGACTAGCTTGATCGACTACTCCATGACTATCTCCAGTCGAGCTGTCACCCTCCACCTTGGATCCTCTTCTTCTCTCTCTCCCACTTTCTGTCAACTTTCTTATTTAGGTATATCCGATAATATTTGTAATGCTTACGATCGGTTACAAAGAGTAGCTAGTTGGTCGCTGCGTATTGATCTCCTGCCCTGGTAGTTAACGTTGGACGGAAACACCAATTCTGGACAAGTCTCGATTACATCCTCTGACACTTTCCTCGAAACCTTCCGGACTGGTTGAATCGTATAATTTCACCTGAAAGTATCATATTAAATTTTTATTTCAATTTAAGATCGAGGTATTAACCAAAATCAGTTAAACTCTAAGAAAGAATTTGGTTTAAATTATTATAGGACATTAATTATTAATTTTTTTTAGCTAATCCCTAGTCGTGGGAGAGGATCCTCTAGGATCTCTCGAATATTGCACCCGAGGTGCAGCAGTTTGCACGTATGCAGCTTCTCGACTCGATATAGGTCATCGGTATGCCCGGGTACATGGGAAAATTTATTACTATACGATAGTGCATAAACCAGGGGTATACGTTACATCGCATTGACCCACAAAGGGCAGGGTAAAGTTAGGTCGAAATTATTGCGGACTGAATTATGTAGCAGCGATATTGCTGTGAATGTTATATCGCCTGGCAGAAAGGAACGGCGTTGCCCAAAACTGAAGGAAAATGGCGTAACTCCAAGTGTACTCGGATATTTACTAAGAAAAAATAGTAAACCGGACGGAAGTACATCAACACTTCGTCGCGGATGGAAAGTTTCCTTCAGGGGATGCAGTACTCGTAACTGAATGCATTAGTAATCCTCCCTGACGGTACATCATCGAAATATTCTCCCATGTACCTGCAAGTTGGCAAAGTATTCCGTATGCAGGAATAAGTCGTCCGAACTTCCGAAAACTTCCGGCGTACCTCAATACCGCCGATTTCCCAGAAGGAGGTCGAAGTTTTCCGAAATAAACGGCGATTCCGTCGAGAGGCTGCACCCACCGTGACAAATCAATGCATGTGAGCTTTCACGAGTTTTGTCAACTTCTCAGGGAAGAAGACACGCGAGAGAAAGTTCTAAAGAAATAACAGAGAATTTCAGAGGATTTTCTCTTTAATAGCGCCTAAGTGCTTTTTTAAATTATTATTAAGCCCTAGAGGGAATACATTCGACGTCTTGCCGAGGTTTCCGTCTTTTCCTTTTACATTCACCAGCTCATGAGCAACACGTACACACACGACCTGCCTTGCATTACTTCATTCATACACGAGCTTCATTTACACATCGAGAATCTCTCGGGAAAAGACTCTACCAATTTTCTACACGCATCTGCCGCACAGCGCGCTACTCCCATTTTCAACGAGGGAAAAGAGATATAAAAAATTCATAAGCACACCCGAGGACACATTAAATTAGAGCAAGTGCGGAATTGCGGTACATATTCGATGCTCTCTCAGCCGCTGCTATGGCTGAGGAATGCTCAGTTGATATTAGTGATTCCTTTTCTGGGGACCATCCCAAAAATCGACTACTGGAGTTTCATGTCGAACTAATTGGACCAAATTAGATTAGGCTTTGGGACAGGTCGAAATTGAAATTCCAGGTAGTCTCTCGTTGGTTAGGGTGGATAATCAGTGTTCGCGAAATCTGCGATGTTCTGCAAGCCGATTAGGCCATTTCTAATGTTTGATATCGACCACCACTCTCTACCAACCGCAATTTCGTCGCATCTCATGGAGAATTTTGGTTATAGGTTTAGACCAATCCGGAGGCCGAATTAGTTTTTAGACATTTTTTAGATATTATTTGCGAGCGTAACTGCGAAATGAGGCAGTTTCTAAGGGCAACGATCTTACTTTTCATAAGGTAGCTTACGTTTCGTTAAGAAGTACAACGATTGTACAAGTGAGATTAACGAACGAAAAAATTGCGCCGATGGTCTCTAACTAATTCGGGAATTAATTCTAAACACGGTGACGTTTTTCAACTGGAGGAAAGTTAAGTTAATTCGCTTCTTGATATTTTTATCATTTTGGATTTATATCATTCTTCTAAGCGTTGACATGTGTTAATACATTTATTCTAGTTGATAGTCGAATTACGTTGTTCTCGCTTTGGTTGTCGAAAAAGTGCCTTCAGGAGAAATTCTTTTATTAATTTCTACTTTAATTTTCCTCCGACAATATTTATACTTCTCATGTTTCGTTTTGTTTTTTTTTTTGCTAATTCTGCTTCAAGGCCTTTTTTGTCGTGTGAAAACGGGCTGTACTTTCGTTGATTTGTAGGCTTTTGTTATTGTATACGGAAAAAAGGGCATACAGGCATAATTGAACGTAAAAGAGGAGAATTATTGTGAAAAAGCTCAGGAATCTGGAATGCAATATTTCGTTCCTTTGATTGAAATTCCCTGCTTTGTAACGAGCTCTTCTCTTCGTGTACCAGCCTCCGCCTTCGATGTCATAATTTTATTTCTGTCGTCGATGTAAAGTCACGCGAGAGACGCGACCGGCGACGTACCGTTTGAATTAGAGAACCGATTGCCTTAAATGGGGAGGAAATTGCAAGACCGCCGAAGAGGAAAGAACGAAAAAAAAAAAGAAAAAAAGAAAATAAAAGAGAAATGGCGAAATCGAAAAGCGTGGTGGAGCCTCAGCGGGAATCGATCTTCAAGACGCTCACGAGGTCGGCGACGAGAGGAGGATTTCTCGTAATTTCTTTCGAATTTCTTTATATTCCCTTTGTACTTCTTCTTCACATTATCTTTGCATCCCCTCGAATCTCTCACGTATTCAGATCGTACTTTAGAGCACTGCTCGAATTTCTTGGATTACCCTGATATATCGGCCTTCACAGCCAGTACCTCTCACCCCTCACTCACGGCACAGCACCACCTCACCACTAAATAATTTTTTATATTAAATCGCAGCGAACCATTTTTTGCAAAAAATTAAAAACTGAAAACTCGCGACGAAGTATATTACTGCGATATTATAGAAAAAGTTCTTATGATCGAAAAAGAAAAATATATGTATGTATATAGAAAAATGGTCCGCCGCAACTTCAATTTTCACTTTCATCGACACCTTTATTAATCTTTTCTCAAATGATCGAGACGTCGTAAATGAAGAGACAACACAAGAATCATCGCATTGCCACAC